AATTTCTTCCTTAGATATTGTATAACCTAGAAAGGCTACTTCTTTCAATCGAATTAACATTTATTGAATTTAACGAAAGCTGGCGCTCTCTCGAGGTTTGTAAAACTATCATCAAGTGTTTTTTCGTGATCTCCTCAAACCATAAAGTATACCGATATATCATCAATAAATGCCACCACAGATTAATCCAAATATGATTTAAAACCCCGATACATTAAGGCCATACTTGCTGCTAGTGCATTAGTCAATCAAAAGGGCATAACTGAAAATTCAAAGTGTCCCCATTTTGAATTGGGAGTGGTCTTAAACACATCAGATTCAAGGATCTTCAACCAGTAATAGTTCTACTTTAAATTCAACTGGAATAATACCACGACCTATTGCCATTAGTCAAAATTCCCATTTAGGTGAGGCAACGGAGTATTTGTTCCTAATGGTCACATTGTTCAAGTTTCGATAGTCTATATATATAGTCTCAAACTTTCATCCCAATTATTATATCATGTCCCTTAATCATTAGACTCATTAAATCTATTAAATATTTCTTTTCACCAACTCAAATCTCCCAATTTTAATATCTCAAATTGGCGATCAACCATTGGATCTCAACTCTAACCCTAAGCTCTCAATTTTTGGTTCCGATCCTTGGTCACCTCTAAGACCTCGGGTTGTCCATTTTCAAGTACAATCTCAATCACGTCCAATACTGTTTGTGTCTTATTATAAACCTAAAAATATGGGGCAAAGTTTAAATATACATGTAAGTCACAAAATCAATTAGAAGCGAAGTAAATTTTCATATGTCATAAGAATCAAAATAGTTACATCCAGTTGGAAGAGATTTATCAAATCATTTCAAAAGGAAAAGGGGAAACAACAAGATTATAGCAAAACGTGTCAAGTTGCCAAGATACAAAATAACAAAAGACTTTCTGTTATGCAAAAGATTGAGTCTCCAGAAGTGCCAGTCTAGTCTAGGGTAAAACTATAACCTCTATCTCTCGAGTGGAGTTTACTACCTCCACTCGTAAAACTTCCAGCGCTTAGACCCCCTCCTAGCACTCGATTACTTTGTGGCAGATGTAGCTGGCCACTGAATATTTCCTCTTGTTAGGAGCTTTAGGGCAATTCGAAAACTTATACTCAGGACTATCACACCTTAAACATTTTCCTTGCTTTTTCCAGCACTTGGTCTCAGTGTGGTTAATCTTGCCACAGTATTCACAAGTTACATGAGAAGTCACATTTGATCAATTTGAGGATTTTCTTTGTATTTTTCTCCAATTCTACGTTCTTGCGTAGCCCACTCAGTTTTCTCTGCATATTCTTGTTTCCACCGTCCTTCCCAGTAGTTAGCTGATTTTCTTTGAAATTCTACCTTATTTCGAAGAATGTCAATTTCCTTACGCATCTCTTCCGAAGTTGTCACCTTACTAGTTGGCTTAAGTCAAAAGCTAGCCTGCCAGGCAAATCAAAGAATCAAAATGGGTAGCTATTCATAACGGAAGCTCGAGCCATATTACTATTTCATTCTTTTGCTTATAGGTTACTCCGGAATATAAATCTTAACTATTTTCTGCTTAATACGGGCGAGCTCTTAAGTCTCCACGAGATTACTATCATTACTTACAAACACAACAAGATACGGGGATCTTATTCCTTAATATAACAATTCTATGTCTTAGTTCATTTTCTAATACTTATCTATAAAGTTGTTCGTGAAGAAATCATAACCTCTTGCTCTCACTAGTGCCTTATTGTATCCTTTCAAATCAATCTTACTATTTCGAGGTTAGATTTTTCGTGAAACTTAGATAGGCGAACTTCGAGAATCATTCCTGATGAGGAGGTCGAGGGAGCTATCCAAGTGGAGCAAGTGAAGGTGCCATTAGAGCCTATGACACGAGCTCGCGCGAAGAGGTTGAATAAGACAGTACAAACATTGGTTCGTGCAGCCCGTGAGTCAAGTGGAGAGCCAAGGGCCATCGAGGGTCTCAACGAAGCTAGAGATGTTGTCCTACTATCGGCTATCCATGAGGATTAGCTGCCCATGGTTCGCCTGGGCCATGGCCCATTATTAGTTTAGTAGAATGTAATAAAGAGGTCCAACTAGTTTGTGGTTTGGACCTTAGTCGTTATTAGTTCTTGGGTCAAGGGGCTAGGCCATGTGGGCCTTAGGACCAATAGCACTTTAGTGGGCCACGTAGTTAGTCCCTACGCTGAGCCGGTACGGGGGTCTCGCTACAAATAGCCTTAGTCACGGCTACAAATAGCCTTAGGTCATTGTTTTACACTCAGTTTTTGATGATTAATAAAATTACATTGAGAGTTCTCTCAAAAGTTTCATTGAAGCACCTTGAATATCTTAGATTTATATCTTAGATATTCAATTGACTTATCAATCTAGGACCGCGCTAGATTGTGGCATCTTCTACAAATACCGAGGTTCGTTGACCACGTGATCAACGGGTATAGGTGATCCGATACGTTCGTCGTCTTCATCGTGAGTCCCTACCTTCTAGATCCAAGCCTTCCTGTACGGGTTGCATCACAAGGTTGGTGTCGTTCGTATCAGCTGGCATTAGAGCTAGTTGAAGGTATCACGTATATCCCTTGCTTCGTTTTCTTTTGGTGTCGTTTCTCTCCTTGTTTTTGTGTCTTCAATCTGTCCGCAATTGTTTGATTTGTTTTGGAGTCGAAAATTCTGTTTTGTCGCCCAAGTGTTGTTGTCGTTTGTTCCTGATTTGTGTGTCAATTCTGTCCAGTGTTCGTCAACTATCCAAGTAATTCCAAAGCTGTTTGGTTGTGTTTTGGAGTCCCAAATTTCTGTCCAAGGCTTCTATAATTTGTTCAAGTCAGTCCGTGTGTTTGCCCTGGTCTTGCGTGTCCTTGTTGTCAAGTCGTTCGGTTGTTCGTTGCTGTCCGGATTTCCCAGCCTGAGTTCCTCGTGTTTTGCGTCTATATTGTCGTGTCTTGGTGTGTCTTGGTGCTGGTCAGTAGTGTTTGTCAAAAAAAAAAAGGAGAAGAGAGTTTGCGGCGGCTAGGGTTCTTCCCTCTTGTCGCATATCGTGGGCTTGTTGGTGTAGCGAACTGTCCAGGTTTGTGCCTCCGTCACTTACTGATTAGTGCGTCTATTCTCGTTGGTTGGAGTGTGTGTTGGGTCGTGTACACAGCCCAGCAAAGTAAAAAAAAAAACAGAAAAGAACGAGGGGAAAAGAAACACCTGCTGTCCAATTTTGAGTTGTTTCCATGGTTTCCATTGTGGTCTGCCCAGAATTTTTTTTTCTTTTCCTTGCCATCCGTGAGCTGTGGGCTGTTTTGGGGTACATCGTTTGATTAGGAAGTGCAACCGTATTGATAGCCAAGTGCATGAAATCTGATTGGTTTTCCTTTGTAGTACATGAAAACTGATTTGCTTCTTTTGTCGGCCATACCTTTTGTTTCCCTTGCTGTCCGAAATTATTACTTGCACTTCGTGAGTTTGGGACTGTTTTGAGTGGTTGTATACCCTGCTTTGGAAGTGGAATACACCTTGGCCGTATTGAAACCTAGAGGTCAGACCTGTTTTGTCTCGCAAAAAAAAAAAAATTGTGTTGCGGCCAAAAACAAAAGAAAGTCCCGAATTTTTATTGCCAATTCCTTTGAAGTTACATAGTGGTCCGAACATTACAAGCAAAATAAACGAAGATTAAGAATTTTGGTCCACTACTTCTTGAAGGTCTTGAGCACCTTGAGTCTTGGGAGGTCGTTCCACTTTCTTAGTGAAAAGTTTTCTGTATTCCCTTGCGGTAGTGAAAGGTTTTCGAGGTTTTGGAGTAAATTTCTTGGGAACACCTTGGGTAACCCGTTGGGGGGGAGCCTGAGAAGGGTTGTTAGAGTCACCATTTCGATTGTCCATTGTGGGTTGCACTTGTTGGAGAGGAACCGATTTAGCCAAGGCTGATTGGTAATTTGCCACCTTGTGGTAGTTTTGGAGGGTGAAAAGTCACTCCCAAGGGGTTTCTTAAAACCCTAGGCCAGCCGTGCACCTTGGGGATTTTCCAAGGCCAAAAAGGTTTCCAAGTCTTGAGTTTCCAAATTGTGCAAGCTTCCAAATTCAGTATCCTAAATTTCGTCCTACATTTTCTCACCTTTTCATACATTTTAGAAACTTCCTTTTCCTTTTCCCTCCTTTTTCTTTTACGCCTCTTTCCCTCCATTTTTAAGTAGTTGGCCGCCACCCATTTCTTCCCATTAGGAACCATTCGCACTTACTAACTAGCCAAGGCAGCGTGCGTTTCTAAAAAAAAAAAAGAAAAAGAAAAAGTGTGTATTTTTTTGGGTTAAGTCCTTTTCTTATTCTTTCTCGTGTCTAGTCTTCTTTGTTTCCTTTCATCTGAGTCATATCATTTCTTTATTCCTCGGGTCAATCGCCCATTATTCTTCATTCCATTGAGGGTTACCACATTTACGTGCTCCAAGCATTGGAAGTTGAATTGTTTACCTGGCAGGATTTCTAATTTCTTCAAAGCAAGCTATCAAGAGCTTTTGAGAAGTTTGGTGAGCTTAGTCGAGTGCTATTTGAGGGCCATACACGAGGGTTGAGTGCATACATGTGAGGGAGTGAGTGAGACATTCATTCCTATATTTGCTTTGCTACTAACTTTTTGCAGGTCTACTACATCATGTCCAGTAGGAGTGAGGCCTCCAGGTTTGACCCCAAGTCAAATAACCAGGCATTGCTAAGAGAAGTCTAACGCATGCTTCGGGAGTCCATGGAATCCCTACACCAAAAAATGGACCACTTAGAGCTCTCGCAAGCTCGGACCAACGCCAGCCGTCGGGATGTGCCACCTCGCGAGGAGCTAGCTTCTAATAGCGAGGAAGATGACTTCATCCGTCGACCCAAGCAGGACTATCAGAGAACCGATGACGGACTCAAGGGGGTCAAAATCAAGATTCCCTCTTTCCAAGACAAGTCTAGTCCAGAGGCTTACTTGGAATGAGAACAGCGAATCGAGATGATATTCGAGTGCCAGGACTACACCGATGAACAAAAGGTCAAATTGGCAACACTCGAATTCACCGATTACGCTATTGTCTGGTGGGAGCAGGAGCGCACTAGCAGGTGCCGCAATAGAGAACGGCAAATTGGTACATGGGAGGAGTTACGAACCACTATGTAAAAACGGTTCATACCCAGCCATTACTACCGTGACCTATACCAGAGGCTCCAGACATTAGTCCAGGGAAGCCGTAGTGTGGAGGACTACTACAAGGAGATGGAGATCACCATGCTCCGAGCAGACATTGTGGAGGATAGAGAGGCTACCCTGGCAAGATTCCTTAATGGCTTGAGACCTGAGATCGCCGAATTGGTGGAGTTGCAAAACTACATGGATATGCCTGAGTTGATTGACAAGGCATCCAAGATCGAGAGGAGACTTAAGAGGAGGGGTAACCCTCGTAACCCTAACTTCTCTGCCACGTCTGTGTGGAGGGGCAACCCAACATTCGAGCGGGAACGGCCTAGTCCAGGGGTGCCCAAATTTACCCCTAAGACCGAGCCACCCAAGCAGACTGTAAAGACAACTCCAAGGCCTTCATTCGACTCCTCCAAGCCACGAAGCTGCGACAAGTGCTTCAAATGCCAAGAATTTGGGCACATTGCTTCTCAATGTCCTAATAGGCGTACCATGATTGTCCTACTGAGCGGAGATGTCATATTTGATGACGAGGAGGAGTTCGCCGACATGCCTCCATTGACTGAAGAAGGTGAAGATTCCGAGGTAGAGGTTGAGGCCACTACCAAGCAAGTGGGTGTTGCTCAAGTAGCCCGTCGGGCTCTTGCGACCCAAGTCAAGAAGGTGGATGAGGGCCAACGTGACAACATCTTCTGCACGCGATGTCACGTCAAGGGAAGAGTATGTAGTTTCATCATTGAAGCAAATAGTTGTACCAACGTGGCAAGTACTCTTAAGGTGGACCATCTTTCCTTGCCCACGTTGAGGCACCCTAGCCCATACCGCTTGCAATGGCTCAATGAGAGTGGCGATATCAAAGTCACTAAGCAAGTGGTGGTGCCTTTCCAGATTGGAAAGTATGAGGATGAGGTCCTTTGCGATGTCGCTCCCATGCAAGTTTCTCACATTTTGTAGGGACGGCCATGGCAATATGACAAGAAGACTACGCATGATGGTTTCACCAACAAGTATTCCTTCTTGCACCACAACAAGAAGATGACACTGGTGCCCCTCACACCCCAGCAGGTGCATGAAGACCAACTGCGGTTGCAACAGGAGCATGAGCGAGAGTTGGCCAAGAAATCTAGCGACTCTAAAGCAATCACTAAAGCACCAGTCGCGAAGACATCCACACCTAGTACTTCTGGCGACTGGACAAGTGTCCAAACTTGCTTACAAAGAACAGGGAAGTTCGCAAGTTACTTTTATCCAAGCAAGTTGTTTACGTCTTATTCTGCAAGGAAGTGATTCTACTATCTCATGAGGCACTCACTGACTTACCTTCTGAAATCTCTTCTTTGTTGCGGGAATTTGAGGATGTTTTCTCGGATGAGATCCCAAGTGGACTACCCCCACTCAGAGGGATCGAGCACCAGATAGATTTCATCCTTGGAGCATTCTTGCCGAACAGACCGACATACAAGATGGGCCCTGAAGAGACTAAGGAGATTCAGAGGCAAGTGGACGAGCTCTTAGAGAAAGGTTGGGCTCAAGAGAGCATGAGCCCATGTGCAGTTCCCGTCATCCTCGTTCCAAAGAAAGAGGGCACTTGGAGGATGTGTATGGACTGTCGTGCCGTCAACGCTATCACAGTTAAGTATCGTCACCCTATACCGCGTCTAAATGATTTGTTTGACGAATTGTATGATGCAGTCATATTCACCAAGATCGATGTTAAGAGTGGCTACCATCAAATTCGAATGAAGGAAGGGAACGAGTGGAAGACGGCCTTCAAGACTAAGTATGGTTTGTATGAGTGGTTAGTTATGCCGTTTGGTTTGACTAACGCTCCGAGTACATTTATGCGCCTTATGAATCATGTGTTTCGTCCTTTCTTAGGTAAATTTGTTGTTGTTTATTTTGACGACATTCTGGTCTACAGCAAGAGTTCTGAGGAACATGTAGCACATGTACGAGCTGCCCTTGAGGTTTTGCGTCGGGAGAGGTTGTTCGCCAACCTTGGCAAATGTATTTTCTGCACTAATGAGCTTATCTTCCTTGGTTATAAGGTTAGTGCACAGGGTATTAGAGTGGACGAGAGCAAGGTCCAAGCCATCAATGAGTGGCCCGTGCCCAAGACCATGAGTGAAGTTCGGAGTTTCCACGGCCTTGCGAGTTTCTATCGCCGGTTCGTGAAAGATTTCGGCACTATAGCTGCCCCTCTTACCGCAATTATCAAGAAAGATGTGAAATTCGAATAGGGGGAAGCTCAGGAGAGGACATTCCAACTCCTTAAACACAAGCTCACACACGCACCCTTATTGTCTTTATCTAGTTTTGATAAAGCTTTTGAGGTTGAGTGTGATGCTTCTGGTGTAGGAATTGGAGCCGTGTTGATCCAAGAAGGAAGGCCGATCGCATACTTTAGCGAGAAGTTAAATGGTGCCGCCATGAACTACTCCACCTACAACAAGGAGTTCTATGCTTTGATTCGTGCACTGGAGACATGGCAGCACTACCTGAGGTCTAAGAAATTTGTCATCCACACTGACCACGGGGCATTAAAATACCTCAAGTCTCAACAAAAATTGAATAAGAGACACATCCGGTGGGTCAATTTTGTGGAGTCCTTTCCCTATGTGATCAAGTACAAAGCTGGCAAGACCAATGTCGTTGCCGATGCACTATCCAGGAGATATGTTTTGATTACTTTACTTGATGCTATACTCCTTGGATTTGACCTTATCAAAGAACTCTATGATACCGACTCTGATTTTTCTGATATCTACAAGTCTTGTGCTAAGTCGAGTCAGGGTAAATTCTTCATACATGATGGATTTCTATATTGTAATGCCAAATTGTGCATTCTGTCATGCTCTATTCGGGAGTTACTAACCCGTGAGGCTCACGGAGGTGGTTTGATAGGACACTTTGGTGTCACCAAGACTTTGAGTGTTTTACAGGAATATTTTTATTGGCTACGCATGAGGCGAGATGTGGAGCGAGTGGTGTCACGCTGCATCACCTGTCACCGTGCCAAGTCCAAACTCCAACCCTTTGGTTTGTATACACCTTTACCTATCCCTTCCGAACCATGAGTTGACATTTCGATGGACTTTGTGCTTGGTTTGCCTAGGAGCAAAAGAGGCCATGATAGAGTCTTTGTCATTGTGGACCGATTTTTCAAAATGGCCCATGTCATAAGACGGATGATGCTACTCACATAGCTGATCTTTTCTTTAAGAAATTGTCCGTTTGCATAGTGTGCCTAGGACACTTGCGTCTGATAGGGATGTTAAGTTTCTCTCATACTTCTGGAAGACCTTGTGGGGGAAGTTGGGGACTAAATTGCTATTTTCTACATCCAGTCACCCCCAGACTGATGGCCAAACTGACGTCATTAATCGTACCTTGTCTACTTTGCTTAGCGCCATCATTAAAAAGAATCTCAAAACGTGGGAGGAGTGTTTACCCCACGTCGAGTTTGCTTATAACTGTACAGTCCATAGTGCTATATAGTTTTCTCCATTTGAGATTGTTTACGGTTTTAACCCGTCGACCCCCTTAGATTTGATGCCTTTACCTTTGTCTGAGCGTGCTAACCTTGATGGCAAGAAGAAGGCTGAGTTTGTCCAGACATTGCACTAGCAGGTAAGGGCCAACATTGAAGCTCGCACCCAGTAGTACCTCAAGCATGCCAACAAGGATCGGCGTTGCGTAGTGTTTGAACCAGGTGATTGGGTCTGGTTACACTTGTGCAAAGAGCATTTCCCTGTCCAGCGTCGCAACAAGTTGCTACCACGTGGAGATGGACCATTCCAAGTTGTGGCGCGCATCAATGGCAATGCCTACAAGCTCGATTTTCCAGGTGAGTATAATGTCCCGGCTGCTTTTAATGTTGCTGACCTAAGTCTTTATCTTGCAGATGATGAGGTCGATTTAAGGACAAATTTTTCGCAAGAGGAGGGGAATGATGAGGAGGTCGAGGGAGCTATCCAAGTGGAGCAAGTGAAGGTGCCATTGGGGCCTATGACACGAGTTCGTACGAAGAGGTTGAATGAGACACTACAAACATTGGTTCGTGCGGCCCGTGAGTCAAGTGGAGAGCCAAGGGCCATCGAGCGCCTCAACGAAACTAGAGATGTTGTCCTACTATCGGCCATCCATGAGGATTAGCTGCCCATGGTTCGCCTGGGGCATAGCCAATTATTAGTTTAGTAGAATGTAATAAAGAGGTCCAACTAACTTGTGGTTTGGACCTTAGTCGTTATTAGTTCTTGGGTCAAGGGGTTAGGCCATGTGGGCCTTAGGACCAATAGCACTTTAGTGGGCCACGTAGTTAGTCCCTACGCTGAGTCGGTACGGGAGTCTCGCTACAAATAGCCTTAGTCACGGCTACAAATAGCCTTAGGTCATTGTTTTACACTCAGTTTTTGACGATTAATAAAATTACATTGAGAGTTCTCTCAAAAGCTTCATTGAAGCACCTTGAATATCTTAGATCTATATCTTAGGTATTCTGTGAGGACTCGCAAATTCCTTATATTTTCTCAAAGAATTCCCTTTTATTTGAAAATTATTTGGCAATTATCATTCTATACTATCCTACGGACCAATCACCCTAGAAAAGTGCCAATGGTCATAAGAAATTAGAGTTTTTCTATTCGTTTTCAATTCGAGGTGAAATAGGATTTTTCGCGTATCCACAGTGTAATTATCCGGTACGGAGTAAGGATCAAATTTGGTGCTTAAGAGTGACTTTTGGGTGAGAAATAATATGTGATTAGGAGCAATGATATAAAGTTAGTGAATAGGAAGAAAAAACCCTAGTACGTGTGATTTAAAAAAAAATAGTGCGAACCGACGTGTACCGTGTACTACCGATTGAACGCACCACTTGACCACCACTTTTTTACCATATAATCTCATTAATATTTGAGCAAAATATCTCCTTATTTCCAGCTAGTTTTGACCGAAATTTAGGGCAAAAAATGCAAGGAAAGAAAGAGAAATTTTGGTTGGCACTTGTCACCACCCTATGGCTCTTTGGTTGATTTTTTTCTTGCCTTCTTAACACCTAGGAGTAGCCTTTCTTCTTCATTTTTCTGCTGCTTGGCTGAGACAAGAGAGGAGAGAAAGAGAGCAATAAACCAACTTCCTTCTTCTTGAGTTGAGCCATTCAAGTGAGGAATTAAAATTCTAAACCGATTAAAGTGTGAGTTGTGAGCTTGAGAAGCTAGAGGAACCAAGAATTCCAAGAGGAGGTCAAATATTACTCTTGCAAGCTTCATTTGTTGAGGTATTTGCTGCCTATACTTGCTATATGGATGATATGTGTTGTATCTAAACTTATATAAGTGGTTGTAGTGATAATTGGAGCAAGAAATGAAGAAAGTTTCATTGAATCCCAAAAATTCCAGATTTCTGGAAAAATTTCACCCTGTTCTGTCCGGTTCCAGTTCATGTGGTTAAAGGCCGAATTATGCTTGGCATAAAACATAAAAGTTGTAGAGAATGATATTTTATAGGTGCCTACAAAATTTCAGCTCAATCGGAGCAACGTAGCTTGTGAAAAGATCAAATTACCCTCACTGTTTTAGGATGTTTCCAGTGTTCCGTTTTAGTTAGTTCATCCAGTTTATCATGTTTATTCACTAGGATCCGTGCTGATTTAGCCATTTACCAAAACATGAAAATTTTACTACTCTATCTTAGCTTTTCAACAGCTACAAGAACACCTTAAATGGACATTTGGTAGCCTGAGATATGACCATTCTAGTGCAGTGCGGTTAATTAGCCGTATAGTTGAAAGTTGGCTCTGTAAATTGGGAATTTGACCAGGTTACACTGGAAATTTGACTAAGTGACCTTCATGGAAGTTGTAGGACTTTGTCTTAGCTTCGAAACGGTATAAGTTGCACCTCAATCCGATAAGCGTAGCATCGGATGTGCCCATTCCGTAAAAACCCATCAAAACTGTCTTTTGTAAACTTTATTTCCACACTTGTTGTTAACTTGAATTTTGTCCTTGTATTGTCTTGAGCCTATTGAACGGCTATTGAAATGAATTTGTGTTGTGAGTAACTTTGGGTTTGATTGAGAAAAAAATTGAAACCATAAATGGCTGAAAAATAGGTAAATACAAAAGGCGTGCTGCCCAAATTTTCGCTCAAGGACTAATTTTCTATTTGAACTTGTTTATTTTCATTTGGCAAATACTCTGACCATTTTTTCATATTAAAACATGGTCCTTCTTCAATTGGAAACTCCAAATGTTTGCTTACTCTTACTAAATAAAGAGAAGTGGTTTAGGGTTTTTGTTTTTGGGTACTTTATTTTTCTTTTTACATGAATTTCATTAAGATCTTTAGTTTGTAAAATCTACTTGAATATGGGATGATTTTTAACCATATAAACGATTCCGAAAACAGTATTTCTTAGCCTATCTAGTTGGATTCCGACTTGTTTTTGGTTCAAGTGTTTTCATTGGAAAATTTTATAATCCTTTTGAGTTTGGTTTTACATTTGGTCTATGAAATCCTAATTATTTTGTCTACGGGTCTAAATGTCCTCGTTTCACTTTAAATACTTAATTGTTTATGCTAGATAAGCTGTAATATTCTGTCTCGTTAACTTTAGGTTTTCTCGATGACTAAAGATAATATCCGGAAGGATATTTTGCAAGTTGCTTTGCGTACATAGGTGAGTGTTCCTTGTTTGTTATATTCTCCTTGACTTCATGACTTGTTGTTATTGTTTGATAATGCATTAAGTGCTTTCAAGAATTTCCAAAACGAGTTTTCTAGGCAAGCGTGTACTTTACCGCGCTCGACCTAAATGAAACGTGAAGTTTTCAATGATTTAATGATTGCTACAATTAGTTGTGCATGAATGTAAGCCTTCTGGCTGAACTGGACCCTGCCCTTCTTACCAATCGACTCGAGCCAAAAGCGGACTCGGTCGGGCGATATGGTGACCCTGGGTGTGAACGTCGGTATACTCGAGTATTACCTTGTAGTCCGGACAACATCCGGATAGGTGAAGCCTGGTCAATGGCCGGGAAAGGGGTGAATGAACGAACAAAAGAACAAACGAGGGATTTTACTTACAAAAATGCATTTTTAAATGATTGGAGGAATAAGGGGAACAACAGGAGAACGAACGAATGAATAAATGGCTCCCTGTGAGCCCGTATCCTTTTAATGAATGTTACTATTGCTTTATATTGCCATGTTTCTTGCATTAGTTGTCATTTATGGTTAATACATGAGCTTTATTGTTTGATTATGTGTTCGGAACCTCACTGAGCTTTTAACTCACCCCTTTAGTTTGTTTTCCTTAACAGGGGAAGGCGAGCAAGGACGAGAGCTCGATTTAGACTAGCCTAAACTAGTTTCTGATTTTGTAATGGTTCTCGCCCGAGTGCTTGGCACGGGTTGGATGTGTGGTGAACTGAGAACCTTTGTATGTTCGATGGTTGTACTCCCTTTTGAGATAGTAATGTACATAAGTTTTGCGTTAGGTTATGGATTGTCGTTATATTTATTCTTGGGATTTATTTCGATTTTAATTGAGGACTGAAGTGAACGACTGAGTCCCGGCGAGAGTTGGGCAGGCGACCCGCCGAACCCTGGGGTACGCCCTAGGGGGAAGTGGGGCCATCACATATTCAATTGACTTATCAATCTAGAACCGCGCTAGATTGTGGCGTCTTCTACAAATACCGACGTTCGTTGACCACGTGATCAACGGGTTTAGGTGATCCGCTGCGTTCGTCGTCTTCAACGTGAGTCCCTACCTTCTAGATCCAAGCCTTCCTGTACGGGTTGCATCACAAGGTTGGTGCCGTTCGTATCAATTCCACTTTCACACCTCTCTTGATTCTTAGGTCGGCTTATTGGTCTAGAGTTTTGGTGCTCAACCAACCGTGCTAGGACATCAATCGTATGGTCAATAGCAGTAGCTACGTGATTGTTTTCCTTCATTTCTAGGATTTTGGTTCGATCCTGTAGTCGTTCTCTAACCATCCCTTTGAGCTTGGTGTTACTTAACCTCTTGCCCTCGGTCCCTTTCCACTTCTTTGATCGCTCATAAATTTAACATTTATAAAGGTATAACATAAAATAAGTGCACATGAACGAAGTTTGAAAAGTGACACTTTGATCATGCCAACCAAATACAAGAATAAAAGGGAAGACACCGAAATAATCGTAAATGTGTACAACCTAATCATAGATTTGAAGTCATAAAGCAATAAAGTCAAGCATCTCATGAGTAACGTTTAATTGTTTTAAAAAGATAGGAAACATAGTGAAACAAAATACAAAATGCAATAGCCTTTCAACGACCACCACCCCGTCTATCTTTGACAAAGCCGTTAAAGTAGACTGAGTCACTAGTTTAGTGATTGGTGAAGCCAGAAGTCTCTGCTACTTCAATAGGATCATTTTCATTTCCTGCACTAGGAGTTTTAATCTAACGTCCCTTATTGAGTATCGTGTCATTCTTCACTTGTTCAACCAAGATAATACGCCCGGCCATCGACTTATCTGTCCAGTCTCGAATTTCGTGTACTACCCTAGCAAGCCGGTCCTTAACTTTTTGAAGCTGCTCACTATGAGCCTTTGTCTTTTCCTTGCTCCTCAAGTATCTTCGTCTCCACTTCAGGAATTCTAGTAATCTAGGCATCCACAATTACCCTCAATTCTCGAGTATCCTCTTGAACTACCCTGTTTCCTAGGATAGCCATCTCCAGTCATTGACCCCCCGTAACACTCTGTTATTTGAGTACGAGTAAGTCCCCTAACAATCAAGTCTAGGATACACTACAGAGATCTGAAACCTAACATCTGATACCAATTGTGACGCCCCCACTTCTCCCTAAGGCGAACCAAAGGGTATCCGCGGAACGCCTGCCAACTCTCGCCAGAACTCAAGACAATACCAGTTTAATACAATACTAGTCATCACGACAAGGTAAAGTAAGAAAGAGAAATTGCTTCCATAAATAACATTCAAACTTACACCACGAGTTCCATAATACATCAAGTTTCTAAAATATACAACTGCCAAAAGTCTAGTTGATTACATTCGAAACCCTAATACCAAAAGTACACCCCCAAGGGTTTCTTCAAGTTTCACTCCAAGTCCGTTCTTGTTAAGAAAAACAAATTTAC